GGGGCTTGCAGAAGCTCCTGCACCAGTGCGGTAGGCGGTACCACGTCTTCAATAACGAGGACATGGGGAACCGCCGACAGGTGGAGGAGCTGCTGGGGAAAATCGACGAGATGTGGAGGAGGAGCTCTCGGCACGGACAGGACTCGGAGGAGAGGCTCGCGGACAAAGCGCAGGAGACAGCCGTGGAAGTGAGCACTCCGGTGTCGCGGCCCAGCTCTCTGCCCAGGAGGGCGGTGGGAAAACGGGGCAGTAGGTTGGAGTCGATAAAGAGAGGGTTTGACTTCAGCAGAGGGAGGATCCAGAGAGAAGTAAAGGGAAAGCCGCAGGGCCGGGAGGAGGAAGTGAGGCCGAAGCGTGCCGAGGGCTCTCGGGAAGAAGGGACGGAGATGGCTGGTGGCCGAGAGGAACCGCAGAGCCGGGACGAGCTGGAAAACGAGCCGGGAGGATCCCCGAGGTCGGACCGGCAAGGGGAACAGGCGGAGGGAGGGGGGAGACCGGGAAAAAACAGTGAGAGCGAGGCGAGAACATTGATCCCACAGCGGAGCAGGAAATGGGATAGAGGGATCGTCGCAGAGGAGAAGGAGAAGGACAGAGAAGGCAAGGCAGGAGAAGACAAGGAAACACTAGCCAAGATGCAGGGGGCAGAGGTGAGGGAGAACACTGAAAGGAAAATGTGGGTGGACACTCCACAACACACCGAGGAAAGAATAAAACTGGGAGCTGGGATGGAACCAATATGGAACACAACAAGACAGGAGACACAACCGTCATGTGAAGACCTGAAGAGGGAAATGGAGCTCAGAGTGAAAGAAGAACTAAGGGCTCAGTATGAAGAAGAGTTCAGAAAGAAAAAGAGAGAACTGAGGGAGCAATATGAGGACAGGCAGAAGAGGAGAGAGACTGAGCTGAGAGAGCAGTATGAAGAGAGAGAGAAGAGTAGAGAGACAGAGCTGAGAGAGGAGCAGAGGAGAGGAGCAGAGAGACACCAGGAGGAACAGGCTCAGAGAGAGAGGGAGCTCACACAGGGATTTCTGAAAGAGATGGAGGAATGGAGACAGAAATATGAAGACCTGCAGAGGGAAATGCAGTCAGAGAAAGAGATGTCAGCACAAGAGCTTTACAGGAGAGCAGAACAAATCGAGATGATGACCAAGAGTTTAGCTAAAGAGAAAATTAGGACAGAGAGACACCAGGAGGAACAGGCTCAGAGAGAGAGGGAGCTCACAGAGGGATTTCTGAAAGGGACGGAGGAATGGAGGCAGAAGTGTGAAGACCTGCAGAGGGAAATGGAGGAGATGAAAGAGAGAACCAATGAAGAAAAGCTCAGAATAGAAGAACTAAGGGCTCAGTATGAAGAGGAGATTAGCAGGAGAGAGACTGAGCTGAGAGAGCAATATGAAGAGAGAGAGAAGAGGAGAGAAATGGAGTTGAATCTTAAACTGGGAGAAATGGAGAAGGAAGGAGCAGCTATCGGGGACCAGCGGGAAGATCATCTGCAGGAGAAAGAGAGAGACATCAGGCAGGAAGATAGCAAGCAAATAGAGGAACTCAAACTCATGAAGTATGAGCTGCAGAGAAAGATGGAGACAGGGAGACAGAGGGCTGTGGAGGAGCTGGACAGCATAGCAGAGGAAACTCAGTCCAAGTCCAGAAAGGACAGTCCTACACAAGGCAAAGAGCTGGACCTCCAGGGTGAAGAGGAGCTCAGCCCAGGAGAGATACAGGGGGACATGCAGAGAGAGGAGGAGAGTGGAGGAGAGAAGGAACTGGAACGACAGCTGGAAGCGATGATGAGAGATTGGAAAGACCTGGAGCAGAGACACGGAGAATTCCAGAGAAGGGAAAAACTCCTGGAGAAGAGTCTGGAAGAGAAGGTCAGGAAATTTGATACAATGAAGCCATTGGATCAGGTCAAAGAGAAAGAAATCGAAGAGGAGAGGACAACATGGGCAGAGGAAGTCTTTAATAGAGCAAAAGAGCTGAAAGAGTTGTGGGAAGAATTATACAAAGTGAAAGAACGAGAGACGGAAGAAAAACAAACGGAGAGGGAGAAAGCTTTACAGGAAAAGCAAAACGCAGAACAGAAGAAGATGAAGGAGCAGCACAAAAAAGAGCTGGAGGAGATGCAAAGGAAAGTGGAGGAAGAGACATCCAGGGCAATTGAGAAAATGACACACAGTTTAGAAGCAGGTGTTAAAAGAGAGAGAGAGCTGAGTGAAGCCCTAGCCGAGCTGATGAAGGAATCAGAGGACCTGAGGCGGAAATTTGAAGCAGAGGAATGTCAGAGGACAAATGAAGGGGAAGAGATGTCAGCAGGGCAGAGAAGGACAGAGAAGGAGCTCCAGGAAGATCTGCGGAAGGAGGTGGAGGAGTTGACCAGGAAGCACGCAGAAGAGCTCGAGAGAGTGAGACTGAGGTGTGAGGAGGAGCATAGAGACAGAGCAGAGACACAGAGGCTTCAGCACCAGCAGGAGAGCAGCAGGCGAGAGGCAGAACTGAGGGAGCAATACGAAGAGAGAGAGCTGAGAGAGGAGCACAGGAGAGGAGCAGAGAGACACCAGGAGGAGCAGGCACAGAGAGAGAGGGAGATTAAAGAGGGATTTCTGAAAGAAATGGAGGAATGGAGACAGAAATATGAAGACCTGAAGAGGGAAATGAAAGAGAGAACCAAAGAGGAACAACACAGAATAGAAGAACTAAGGGCTAAGTATGAAGTGGAGATTATCAGGAAAGAGACTGAGCTGAGAGAGCAATATGAAGAGAGAGAGAAGAGGAGCGAGACAGAGCTGAGAGAAGAGCAGAGGAGAGAAGCAGAGAGACACCAGGAGGAACAGGCTCAGAGAGAGAGGGAGCTCACAGAGGGATTTCTGAAAGAAATGGAGAAATGGAGACGGAAGTGTGAAGACCTACAGAGAGAAATGGACGCAGAGAAAGAGCAGTCAGCACAAGAGCTTGACAGGAGAGCAAAGCAAATTGAGAAGATGACCGAGAGCTTAGCTGAAGACAATAGAAGGACAGAGAGGGAACTCAGGGAGGATTTCCAGAGGCAAATGGGTGAAATAACTCAGAAACATGAGCAGGAAATGGAAGAGTTAAGACAGAGATATGAGAGGGAGAAGGAGAGGGAAACAGAGCCCCTGAGAGAGACAATATCACAGGAGCAGTGCAGACTGGAACAAGAGCTAAGAGTCAAGTATGAAGAAGAGATTGGCAGGAGAGAGACAGA